GGTACCACTGTACTGTTTTTGAAAGGTGTTAAATGTTTAGTAGGATTTGGAATTGAGAGAAGAATATTCAGTCATCAATATATCCTGCTAATTCAACTGTTCCAAAATAAAAGGTGTTGGTGGTTGACTGTATTTTTAGTAGATTTCTGTGCATTAGAGTGAGAAGTTTAAAATGAACAAATAGTGTAGTCCTGAACAGGTATACTAAGAAATAAGTCCTTTAAATTCTTTGGAACTTATTCTCTAGTAAATTTGCTTTATGAGTTTTAGGATGTATTTCAAACCATAGGGCTTGAATTCACACTTAGGTCCTGTTGAAATTAATGTGGAAAATTAGTCATAAGTAACTTAAGCCCTATCAATTTCAGTTGGGATCTAAGCGTGTTTAACTTTGCTCTGGATCCCGCTCATGATTTAAACAGAATCTTAGAGTTGGATAGATCCTAAATGGGTTTTAATGTTGAGTATCTTACCTGTTGTGGCTTTATTGTTTTATTCTTTGCATTTCAATATATGTTTATTCTTTTGTGATTTTAAATAATTGTAAACTGTATCGGGTGGTCCATCAGTAGGGAGGGACATAAATTTATATATACCGTATTTTTCCATGTATAAGACCAGGTTTTTTCCCCTAAAAAATAATATCAAAAATTTGGGGGAATCTTATACACTGATAGCTCTTCCCCCATTTTCTTAAATCGGAGTCCCCCAAAATAGGGGCGTCTTATACAGGGGGGGGGCATCTTATAGACGGAAAAATACGGTATATATAAAAATAAATTTGTTAAGTAGTATTCATCCATTTTGTCCTTTGTCTTTTTCCTCCCCTTTACAAAATAATCTAGGGCCTCATCTAAGATGCATAAGCCCATGTCCAGTGCTTAGCAGGCCTTCGTATGCTGTCTATTTTAATGTGTTGTTAGAGGGATGATTAAATCGCGGGCTGCTTCCCACATGAAATGCAATGGCTATTTCATCTAGCTGTCTCAGAGTACAAGATGACCTGGTGAAGGTCACACTTTTGGCTCAGATGGGTGACCAGCTGCCATTTAGCTGCTCTTTTCTGATAACTGTTTCTCTCAGTGGTCATAGCTCCATTGGAGACTACAGAAAAAAGCTTACTTTTGAGTGTACATAGTATTGCAGCCTTAATTGGGAATGAATTCCATATTGCCTAGTATGTTGTTGCTGTGGCAATGCAGTGCCTTTGTCATGCTTCCCTCTTTTATTGATATCTAGGCGGGTATAAGTTACACAGTCAATGTCTTGCTTGAGAAACTGAATTATGTATCAACTAAAATACTTTCTTCAGTTTCCAGACAATGTATTTGACCCATGCTGGCCATCATCAGAATCTTTCTGAATGTGAGAGATATATGAGGATTTTCTGCCTGAAATATGGAGAAGCTCAATCTAAAAGGAAACTATCTTCGTGAAAAAGAAGAAAAAATGAGACATGATATTGTTTCAGTCACCTTTAAACTTATGACAGAGGTGGGAAGTTGTTCCATTTACTGCTTGACCTGGAGCTGTTGCCTTACCTCATTAAGAAAATATACAAGCCCATTACCTGGAGGTAAGTTACGAAAACACCAGAGCTGTTAGGTCATAGCAAAAAGATCAAGCTTTCTAAAGCTGAACTACTAGACAGCACAGACTTGTCTTCCAAACAGATATGGCAGTACCTTATCTCTCTTGCTAGAAAGAACAGCATCAAAGAGGAGCTTCTGAGCAGAACTGAAGACAGAAGATATAAATCTAATCTGCATTTAACCTTAATTAACAGCAGTATGAAGCAAGTTAATGCTTTAGTGGTAGCAGTTTAAGGACACAAGTAAACATGAAGGTCCATGATCAAGAACCCCTGCAGATTCCAGACATATTTATTCAGAAATTCTTATTCAGAGTTCATAGGAACAAGGCGCAATAGCACAGCCCTAACTATGTCTATTCAGAAATAAGCCCTATTGAATTCAATGGGGTGGGGTAACTTCCAGGTAAGAGGATTTAGGATTGAAGCCAAAATATATTATGATTATTCAATCAAGTATCATGTTGTAACAAAAGAACTGGCCAGCACAAGCACTGCCCAAATATTACTTAGATGTGAGGATGAGAACGGATAATGTGACACTCTGGAATTTCTATCACAAGATGTAGTGGTGGCCAGTTTGGGTGGTTTTGAAAGGGATTAGCTGAATTCATACAGGATAAGGATACTGATGGCAACCGGTGATAATGACTATCACCTCCGGTATCAGCTGTAGTAAGTCTCTGAATACTGGTTGGTGGGGAACATGAACAGAAGAGTGCTATTGCCCTTGTGTCCTGTTTGTGGGCTTTCATAGGCCTCTAGTTGGCTATTGCAGGAACAGAATGGTGGACAGGATAAACCTGGGCAGCTAATATGGTGCCCTCTAGGTGTTGCTGGACTACAACTCCCATGAGCCACACTTAGCATGGCCAATGGTCCAGGGTGATGCAAGGTATAGTCCAACAACCTCTGGAAGGCTCTGCCTTTCGTCTGATCCAACTAAACACTTTTTATGTTCTTAGAGCATATCCCAGGGGCCGGATAAACATTCTGCCTAGCACATATTCCCAGTTTCCACATGGTTTTAATCAAATAGTTCTATTTCTATGCTGTATGGACTTGAACAATTATGCCATGTTGATTCCATGAAGAAATGGTTAAGAATGATTTTGGATTAATTAATTTCCTAACAGATTGAAACATACTTGAACTTAGCTTTTGCAAAGCGTCATCACCAATAATGGGCCCCTAGTCTGGCATTTTGCTCTGAAATGGCTAAGTGTTGCTTTTAAAGCTTCGAGTGAATTGGGCTCAATGGAGCGATTAGTCAGAAACTAACCTTTTTGATAACAAAGTAGAATCAGAAAATAGGCAATAATTCAGTGCGCAAGGAAATTTTTAAAAGTTCTCTAACTACAGACACTTGCAAAATTGCACCTATCCAGCAGAATAATATCTAATTTTACACAGTTAGTAAAGATAAATGATTTTTCCTGATCAAATTATATCAGGATGAATAATTTTATACTATATAATTGGTGAGCTGGATAATTCAATAAGCCCATTTTCTCTGGTTGACTTCCTTTTACAAGTCAAAATTCCATAATGAGGAAGGCAGCTTTGTCAAAACAGCTGCCAAATGGCAATAGCATCATAAAAAAAGCATTAATCAGTAAATTAATTAAACATTCAGTGTATGTAAAACCTGCTGTATGCTGAGAAAATGTGAATGGCCTGACAATCGTGTTTGTTGCAATGTATTCATCAGAGACCTCTACCAAACAGGCTGCATCTTCCAGCAGGACACAAAATCAGTTGCTTTGTGGTAATATAAAAAAATGTTTCTTGTTTGTGTGTCAGTCACACAAAAAGAAAATGAATGATAAATGTATTTATTTATTTTATGTTGGTCATGGGGTTCATTTTCTGTGTCATCACCAGGCACTGCAGCATTTAGAAACAGTGTAAGTAATTTATAGTAATTTATAGCAGAGGGTCAAGGAAATGTTCTCTTTGTGTTAAATCATGGGCGCATCGTATCTATAATAGGTCTCATCTAGCATGGTGACCTAACAGTGACAGAAACCTATTTACAATTGGCATCCTCTGATTCTTACAAGAAAAGCATGTTGTGCTTTGTGCATAATACCACTTGTGGAGGAGCACTTTTAGCCATTTTGCCACCCATCTATCTCAGGCAGCAGTGGAACAGTGCACCTTTACTGGTGAAGCCAAACCTTTGCAGATTTACAGCTCCTGCAGCGGCTGTAGAGACAGATATGGAAGAGGCATGTTTCATTGCAGCTGAGGCAGCTGAGGGTGTCTGGTTGTGCTGCTTCTCTGCGCTCCTCCCAGGGGTCATTCCTCTTCTGGTCACCGTTGTGGATTGTCTCCAGGCACTGCGGTCATCTGCAAGGGATTCCCACACAGCAGGGTTAATGTTGCCAACCTTCATGTCTCATTTGCAGACATCTTTGAAATGCAGAGCTGGTCTACCAATGAGCCTGGTGCCTGAAGCCAGCTCATCCTTGGGGACGCTGCTATCTTCGATTCTGCTATTCTTCGATTCTGGTGAGAGCCAGTGTGGTGTAGTGGTTAAGAGCGGTAGTCTCGTAATCTGGGGAACCAGGTTCGCGTCTCCACTCCTCCACATGCAGCTGCTGGGTGACCTTGGGCTAGTCACACTTCTTTGAAGTCTCTCAGCCCCACTCACCTCACAGAGTGTTTGTTGTGGGAGAGGAAGGGAAAGGAGAATGTTAGCCGCTTTGAGACTCCTTAAAGGGAGTGAAAGGTGGGATATCAAATCCAAACTCTTCTTCTTCTTCTTCTGTTCATATGACCAAGCCAGTATAGACATCGCTAAGCCAGGAGTGTGAACATGCTGGGAATGTGGGCTTAGGAGAGCACATCTTTGTTTGAGACTCTGCCATGTGATGCCCCAAATCTTCCTGACGTACTACATGGGGAAGGTGTTGAGATATCACTCCTGGTGTTTGTAAGTTGCCCTGACTCACTTCTGTAAAGCAGCATGCTCAACATGCAAGCCTGGTAGACTTTCATCTTGGTATTGGTTGTTAGCACCTTGAAACCATAGAGATATGTGTAAAAGAATTTATTTCAGTTGCTGAGAGCTAATGTGGTCCACTGGATATCGGATACAACCTGGGTTCAAATTTGTACATCTCCTGTTACTGCTGGCTTTAGGCAAACCACAATCTCTCAGTCTGAGTTTCCATCTGCTAAATGCAAACGGTAGTTTTGCGATGTTTTGCAGTTTTAAAAAAACACACCAAGAGCTATTTACACACGAAAAGGTCCATGTAAATGGTTCATAATGAAACATAATCAAGAAACAATCCTCTCTCCGTGAACTCTGAAAGCAGAGCTATGTTGAAACAGACAGGTTAAGCTGTATTTTTCCTTCACATTTTGTTAAAGGAAATGATTTATTCATAGGCAGTTAAGTGTTTGAAGAGACCATATATATTTCTTCAGCACAGGTCAAGACGGAGCTAAGAGAACATGAATCCACTTTCAGCCTCTTAACTTCACTGACACATTTTTGATGACTGGAATATCAGAACAATGAGAAATTGAGAACAGGTAAATTTTGAAAACATTGCACAGGGGGGAAAGACAAACAAGGCTTATTAATGAGCAACTGCATTTGCAAACATATTTCAGTGCCAGGAGTTAGAAGTGGTGGACTTTCAGACTCAAGAGTCATTTGAAAGCATTGAATCATTCCTTGATCTTGCATGGCAGAGGGAAAGCTAGGTAGGTAGCTGACTGGAATCATACATGCTCAGGGAGATCTCAAGCCCCACTTTGGCCTTATGATAGATACCATGTGATTACAATCCCCAGCTGACACTGTCCTAATTTCAAATTGCTTTCGTAGTGGCTAAAGTATTCCTCTCTTGCATTTCTAGAGAGTATTTAGGAATTAATTATGGATTCATCAATTAAGAAGCTAATTAATAAACACTGAGTGTTGTTAGTCTTAGCAATGGTAGTAAAGGACTGTACTATTAGCTTGTGCCTGTTTAAAAGAATGTTCGAGTTTTTCAGTCATTAATAAGTAAATTAGTTGAAGGCTGCTTGCTTACAGACCTTTTAGATTAGTAACTTCAGTGATGAACTGCTGATCCGCAAGCTTCGTTCAGGTGGTCCATGGTGCATGTGTGTGGATTTGTGGTTGAAGCCAGGAGAGAGCACACCCATTGCACTGACTTTGTATATTGATTGTAATTGTATTTTTATTGCCTGCATGGAATTCAAATTGTAATACAAGAAATAAAAGAAGCAATAAAATACAATTGAAAATCACACAGTATCTAGCGCAGCACATTATAATTGCGTGTCGAGGTCCGCAAGCCACCCCTCAAATAACTCACAACTCACACATAAATTTTTGTTTAAGGTTTTTGGCATAATTTTGGCCACAACTTTATTAAAATACATATCTGTGAGTGGTTGTTTAGGCATTGGTTAAGACTATCTGTCCCACCCCACCCCCCGCCTGGGGACAGAACTGACATCCGAACTCCATTGGATGCCAGTAAGGGAAAACAATATTGGGGAGCAATGGAGCTGAGTCACAGGCCCTCAGCACTCACCCGCATGCTTCCCGGGGCTTGCCGGCCATAGCCCCATCCAGGGATTCAGACGAAATCGTGGCAAGCCCCTGGATTCCTTTAACGGAATTCCCTTCCGCAGCAGCATTGGAGGGGCAGGCCCAGCCAATCCTTACCCCTCCTCCAACCAATTGATATCCAATGCCTAACCACAACCTTACAAGTTGTGACGATTTGCTACGCAGTAGGCAAAAACCATATGGCCCAGCCAATCAGCCAGATGGACAAAATTCCTACCAGGCCCTTGCCCTTGCCCCCAAGGGCAGACAACCCCGTGACAGGCATAGCAAGGTCAAGCAAACCTTCCAAACTCAGGGCGGGTGGGTGGGTGATCCGGCTCACGCAGCGAAAGAGAAAGCACCAAGCTGCGTGCTCGGAATTTAAACAGTTCGGTCCCTCCCACCAAATTTGCAACAAGTAAATTCCCCCAACAACACAGTCATCCAATTAAATGCCAGGATGATATTTTATCACCCTACTTGGCAACAGAGGGGTGACTCAGCGGACCCCACCGCAACACATGTTCTCATTTAGGGAGAACACGCTTTGTTACAGCAGGCAGAAAGGTCCTTAAATGGTTTGTCAAGTGGTTTCCTCCAAAAAGCTCAAGGTGGCATCATGGTCCTCTTCCTCCCTATTTTAGCTTCACAACAACCATAAGAGGGAGTTGAGGCTGAGAGACTGTGACTGCCCCAAGGTCACCCAGGAAGTTTCATGGCTGCATGGGGATTTGAAACCTGGTCTCCCAGACCCTGGTTTAACACTCTAATCACCATACCACACTGACTTTGTCAAATGTCTGAATCAGACCTTTCCAGGATGTGTGAAATAGAAAACTTCTGCTCTATTTTGGGAGTTATTATCCGGGGAAAGATCTGGGGAGAACAAGGACGGACGAGTAAGCTGCTGTTCTTTTGCTTTGAGGCCTAAACAACAGACAACGCTGATTCACTTTGTTTTCCAAAAGTCAAGCCAGTGAAATCTTTGCTGATACTGGTTGTTGTTGCTGTTGGCAGGAGAGCTACCTAGTGATAATACCAGAAGGAAGAAATAAAGAAAATAAAAAGCTAATAGCAATCAGGGATGGAGTGTGCCTCCTGAAGACCACATGTTGAGCTTTTATCTTTGCCATCTTCTCTTCCCTTAAGGAAGCTGCGATATTTATACAATAGCTAGAAGAACAACTTTGAAGTGTCATTTGTTGAGCTGAGCATAAGTTATGATTTTGCTTGAGCCCAGCAGGGTATTCAGTTACAAAAGGAGAAAGTTTTGAAGTTATAGGTCCTGGTTTTCTGATCCATTTGTTTCCAGGATTCTTAAATGCAAGCCATGATCTCTGCCTTTGAACAGGAGTCTGGATTTCAACTGAAGAACCCTAAATAAAGCTTATAATAGACTGCAATGGCACACCACTGTTTCTGAAAAGGTAGGAGCTGGCAGTTATACGGTGTTATGGATTTGCTTTGTGCAGATCCACTGGACAAAGATGCAGTTAATAAGCTAACTTACTGTAGTTCATGTTTGAAGAATAAAATATGTAACAGCCTTACTTTCTTTTAATTCATGGTAAAAAAAAGTATTAAAGATTTTAAGGTTCTTAGTACTGAATATGTCATATATAGTAGCTGCATGTACTTGCTTGGCATTAAAGAAGGATGCTTTTTTGTTTAGTTCTGGCAGCATTGTTGACATATTGACAGTACATACTGTGCCAGTGAATACCAGTGATCTGCATGCCTGAAAGCCATGATCCTCAGAATACATGTCCCAATAATTCTGTTAACGACAATGGAAGAGGGAAATGTAAATTGCAGCCAGATTCTGTTATCTGCTGTTTAACGCAAAAAGAGAGGATACAAATTAAGGACACTTACAACCGAAGTTGCACTGTTGCAGCAATTTGCCCACAAAGCCAAACCATTTTAGGTTTATATGTGGGTGGAAACCTCCATATTGGCAAAAATTGGGGATCCACTTGAAAGAATACAAAATCAAGACAATACTTAGATATTAATTCAAAAACTTGCTGTTTTTAGAAATTGTTTTTTAATGATTTATTATGTGTTTTCAAGAATTGTGTTATTTTATTGTAGGGGCATTATATCTATTGGCCTCTTGTAAATTGCCTTGTGATTTGTACAATGGCAGCATATATATATATATATATATATATATATATATATATATTCACATCAAACCAAGTATACAGTATACTGTTTGCTAGACAGCAGCAATGGGAGAGGACTATTGCTCTCATGTAGGGATGGTAGAAAAATTTGATTTACTTTGCATTTAAAGGTTAACTTAAGTAATTCACATTTTCCAAAACAATATGCAGACTGAAACACAGCTACCCTTCAAAATTCATACTTCTCTGAATTTTCGCAATGCAGTCCAGTTAAGTAATGTATGCAAAAATGCATATGCTAGGGTATATTCTGCATATAAATGGGCATGTTATTAAACATAACATATCAAATTGTATCATGTTAGGAAAATTGTTTTGCAAAAAATGTATGAATTAGCCAAACTGCATACAAAAATGTATACTTTGAGACATTTGCTCTAAAATATTGAGAAATTTTCATGAGGACTGTTTGGAATTGAGAAAAAAAGACATGGAAAGAAAGCAAAAATGACAGATTCACTCATCTTTACACGTATGTACATATTGTGGGTTTCCCGGGGCATCTGGTTCACCATGGTGGGGAACAGGATGATATATTTATATGGCAAGGACCATAACCCAAACAGACTGCAGGATGCTGAATATGCATCAGAATCATAATTTAATCACCGGTTGACCATCCCAACTGAGGTTCTCAAAGCTGAGTCTATTTATTTGTAATACCCTACTCCTGGGAGATTTAAAAAGAAAAGAAAAGAAAAAGTTAAAGAGTCTATGAATAACTTGAACTGATGCATAAACCAGATCTTTGCTGCTGAAGTACGCTACAGAATCCTGCCCTTGCTGGAGACCCACAGATATGAAATAGATCACTTGCCTCTTCTTCCCTTTGGCAAATGACTGTACTGTTGAAATGGCAACGAGATCGCACTGGCTTATTTATTCTGAATGTTTGTAGGTGATGCCAATAAAGGTTTGATGATGATGATAAACCAGATCTAAGATTACCCCATGTGAACTGTGCTAGGTTCAATAGTATGACTACAGTAATAAATTATAGCAAAAGAATAGGTAATAGCGAAAACCCACTGAAGATTTTTCAGCATTGATAAATGTTCCATTGGTTTGATGAAGCCTTGAGCAGTTATTCAAAAGTTAAGATTTTCCTGCTTCATCAAAGCCTATGACAGCAGTTGCTGGCAAAAGTTATAAGGTGCATGTTCAGTTTCATTCTGAAGCTAGAATTCTGCCAGCACACCAGTGCTTGTAGAGTGAGACACCTAGTGGACTTCCTTGTGCTTTATCTTCTTTCTTTCTTTTAGTTCTGGAATGTGAGCTATCAATGAAGGAGTTGGTGGAATGCACAGGTGGAATGCACAGGACAGCAGCAGCAGGCTTCATCTAGATCAGCAGAAAGCCTCAAATGCTTTATGAGGCAATACAAGAACATAACAATGTCGAACATCTTTGTTGGTCCCATGCACTCCATCCTCCACATCTAGATTTCAGCCTGAAGGAACAAAGTTATGAAGTGTGACTTTGCGCAACATCATTACTGATCTGCTGTGGCATCAACTTCAGCTTCAAGTTTTCCAGCTTTGTGGAGCTTAATCCAGCATAAGATAGCCTTAACTTTGGCCTTAAACCATCAAACCTTTTTTTAAAAAAAATGAATTAGATAATAGTGATCAACCTGGATCACATTCCATATAAAACAAATGAACTTAATAGTGTAATGTGGAAGCAATAAAATCTTACCTTAACTAAGGTGCAATAACAGTACATTGCAGGACTGGGCTAGAAGTTCAACAGTGGAATTATCTGACAGTATAAAGGAACCCAAGTGATCATGTATTTATTCATTACACTTACAGCCCACCCTTCCTTCCAAAGTATCACTGGTGGCAAACACTCAAATGATAAAACAACAGAAACATCTAGCAACAATTCCAATATGCTCACAGACTGATCCCAACTCAAAAGGCTTATTGGAGTGGGGAGGTCTTCAGCAGGCTCTGAGAAGACAACAGAGATACCAACTGTCTAATCTATAATGGGATGGAATTCCAAATAGTAGGTGCCACAATACTAAAGACCCAATTCCTATATTGTACAGAACAGTTGTCCTGCTAAGATGGTAACCACAGGTGGCCCTCACTTGCAGAGTGCAGTGACTGGTTATACAGGTATAAGTGGTGATATTATCTTTCAAGTATCCTGGTCCCATGCTGTATCAGACTGTAGGTTGCAGCAGATGCCACCTATTTCCACCAAGCACCAATTGTGTGTGTGTTTCTGTGTATGTGTTAATCTTCATTAGTATTGCCATGCATGTGAGGAGAAAGAGAACTGCCACTGCTGATGCTTTTCAAGAGATATAGATATTTTGCTTTTCCAGTGAATGAACATAAGCAGCAGTGTTCAGTTGACCTGAAGAAACCTTAAGAACTACATAAGGCATGCAGAAGATTGGCTGAAGGCTCTCCAGTTCACTGGTGTTCAGTCACACTTCCATCTCCCACTCAGGCGTTAAGTGCCAAATCCCTGAGGCAGAGGATGATCAGCTGTTCAGTACCAAAACAAGAGACATCAACTTCCTTCTGATTGAAAAATAAAAGTCTACAGTCTGTTCATGAAGGTGAGAGAAGGACATTAGAGAAAGGATTTCTAAGGTTATGCGTCCCTGGCTGGTGGTTGCAAGAAAGATGAATGATGCAATGTTCGTTGAAAGATAAGGGGGGAAAGAAGAAAGAAACAACAAGGTACATTAGGGCAGGTGTGCACAATGCTGTTTGCCTATTGATGGCTGCACCAAAATAAAAGTTTGCATTTTTGAATGGACAGACACAGGCACGATACCACCAAAACACTCTTGGGCTACTGCAGTATGGAAAATATCTTCTGCATTTTTCCTAGAATTCTATATCAATCAATAAGAAGAGAAATTGCATTCAGAAATTGCCCAAGGGGATTTCCAAGGGTGGTGTCAAACAAGAGAGAGAGACACGGAGAGAGAAATTATCTTGTGTGGATTAGAGAATTTTTGTTATGCTTACTTTACTTTTAAAGTGGCCACGGTTTATCCTTTCTTTCATTCTAGAAATCTTCTGTCAGGTAGTCTGAATTCTACAGCCTTCCCAGGTGTCCACCATTCCTGATAATATTGGCTGTGTTTTCCTGTAAGCTCAGGAAGCTAGGGAGGCATGACACCTGTGTGCTGTGTGTGTGACCAGAATTTTTGGTTTTTGCTTTTTTGAAAAAGGAGTTCCCTTAAAGAAACAAAATGAGCAAGCACCCCAACCTCAGGTGCTTGATAGCCAGTCTCTCCAGTTTCTCAAGCTTCAATTAAAGCTCAGGGGAAGAAGAAGAAGAAGAAGAAGAAGAAGAAGAAGAAGAAGAAGAAGAAGAAGAAGTAGAAGTTTGGATTTGATATCCCGCCTTTCACTCCCTTTAAGGAGTCTCAAAGCAGCTAACATTCTCCTTTCCCTTCCTCCCCCACAACAAACACTCCATGAGGTGAGTGGGGCTGAGAGACTTCAGAGAAGTGTGACTAGCCCAAGGTCACCCAGCAGCTGCATGTGGAGGAGCAGAGACGCGAACCCGGTTCCCCAGATTACGAGTCTATCGCTCTTAACCACTACGCCACACTGGCTCTGGGAAGACATCATGAGGTAAGTCCTCCCATTGGGTTGCAGGTTTTTTGGACTTCAGGCACCCAGGGAGGCTGCAGAGTGCTGGATAAAGGTTTAGTAAAAAGAAAGATAAAAACAAACAACACCTTTCTTGAACAATAAGCGCAACCCCACTGAAATTTTAAAGAAAGAAAAGCAAATAAATTGAAGGACAGTTTTTGGCTCAGCACTGCCGAGGGCTGAGCCAAAATGTCTTCCCAGCCTTTGCATGATGTGAAGTTGTAGGTGACATTTTGGCATAAAGTTGATGATGAACATATGACTGTGACTACACTGCCTGAAGTTTTGATCCCTCATCCTCTCCAGGAAGCACTGGCATCACTGTGTTTGGCTTCATGGTGATGTTATGTTGTCATTTTTGCTCCATACGCTACACAAGATACACAGGGGGAACACTGAGCTGCCAGTAATCAAGTCAGAGAATTCCAATGAGAACAGGAACAGAAATTGCCAAAATTTGCTTATTCATCCCATGTGTCAAATGGAAGTCAATCCAGTGAATACAATCAGTATTTGATGTTGTTGTTGCTTTCAGTCCAGAAACAATACAGAATTGGTGTGTGTGTTTTTCACTATTGGCATTGTGTTTCTTTGCATTTAGATGAGTGGTGAGGCATAATGTAAATGACACAATTAATTATGCATAAGCTACATAAGTTGTGTAATTTCACCACAGTGGGCAGTGAAATGAAAAACATTAGTTTTTGGTGGAAGGTGAACTGCAGCAGAACTGGAACAGTACTGCATGCAATCAATACAGAGTGCGATGGCAAGCACTGCCTTCTTAAAACCCTAATAGTGCAGCAGTCAAGTAAAGTATAGTTCTGTAATGCTTTCAAGAGAGTTCTGAAAAAAAGATTCTTAAAACAAGTCCTGATACTGAAATATGTTCTTGATCGCAACCCCACAGAACCTGCAAACAAATTAGATACAACGGCGGCTTCGGTACAACCACAGATGGATGTGGGAATGGAAAACATTGATGGTTATATTCTTTGTTCCTGGACTTCAATGCATATAAAAGCACATTTTTTTTATTTTAAAGAATGGGACTCCCCTACCAGTAGCTCTGTATAAGATCAACAGGAGGAAGGAACAATAGAGTCTCATAAAAGAATTATCTATTTTCATCTAAAATATCTAAGATTTGAAAGACTCAAATGAATTCCCTAAAGGAAAACACCATATAATAAAAGTGCAGGAGAGGTTTTAGGCTTTAACAAAGTTAGAAGTTGAAAACCAGCAGGAGTCTCAGGAAACATTTTGTTTAAAGTTGCTTGGAGACAAAACAAAGTGGGGTGGGTGGGTGGAGTGGATTTCATCCCCATGAGCAAGATATCTGAAAATGTTTGAATGTCATTCTGATCAGCCTTATCCTTATTGCTTATTATGTATTATCAGAATTTATATTGCATCTTTCTATACAAAATATTCAAGTAGAACCCTTCAGGAGAGAGCACATCAAATTTGTGTTGATCCCCCTGCCCCCAATGGAGTGGAAAGCAATAATAGGCATAAAATAAAATAAAATTTAAGCTAGCCACGGTGGAATGAAAGAACGAGAACGGAAAATAAAGGCCAAGGAGGCTGAAAAATGTTACGCAAAACCTTATAGACTTGAAGCATATGTAGTTGCATATTAATGATGACATCTGTTATGTACAGCATAGAAATCCCTTAACTATGGAATGCCACATAAGCACTGACAAGAGACTTAAAAGACTTCCATTAATTTGTGATGGCAGCAATTAGCAAAGAGGGTTTTAATACTTGCTAGTGCTCAAGCTGTCAATTTCTGGCAATTTTCCCTTTCTGGTTTCTTGTAAACTTTCTCTTGCTCATCTAGACGAATCATTCCATTCAACCAGAAAGCAGATTTACGCACACACAAACACCCCTCCCCAGCTCCTTCTTTCTGTTTGATATTTTGAAACATGTACAGTTTTCTGAATACCCATCTACAGAGCTTCATGCTCAGAAGCAGTAGGGGTGGTAGACAGACCCTCCACTGTGGTGAAAGAGTCTCTGTTTGAAACCCCATCCAGATGCTCACATGATTTTGGTGCCAATAAACGCACCCTGTGCAAACTAGACAGTGTTAACAGCTACGGCGAGATGGAGAAACACAGGTGTGGATCACCTACTGCTTGTGCAGTAAAGTGGAAACAGCCTAAGACGGGGTAAGCGCTACCAGAAACTACAGAGAGGATTCTGCCAAGTATAATTTGAAAACCGAGATTGCATAACGTTTTAAGGTCTCATCCAAGCTCATGGGGAGGGGAGCCAATGGGCAAAGAAACAGCTCCCTTGTACTTGTCAAGCTATCAGTTTTTAAGAGATGTTCCTGTAGATTGTTAGCATCTAGCAGAGTTCCTGTCATGCTCTCAGTCCTCTAAAACAGTGTTTCCCAGCCTTGGGTCTCCAGTTGTTTTTGGACTACAGCTCCCATCATCCTTAGCTAGTAAGAACAGTGGTCAGGGATGATGGGAACTGTAGTCCAAAAACAGCTGGAGACCGAAGGTTAGGAAACATTGCTCTAAAGCATGTTCATTTTGACCAAAAAAATGAATGATTGTATGAATCATATGCTTATAATTGAGATGGCTATCATCAGGACCACTCATTAGAGACTCCAGTAAGTAGAGCAGGGATAGGAAACCTTTTTCAGCCACATTCTCTTCTGGGCTACCTTCTGTGGACCATCTGCCAGTAGTGGGTGAGGCCAGAGGCAAAAGTGGGGAGAGCAATGGATGTGAATTTTAATTTCATACTGCACTCTAGTTTCTACACACATTCACACACCCCTTTATATCCTCCATCCAAGAGGCAAGAGGCATTGTCTGAATTCAATGAAATACTCCAGCCAGACATAAACGGTGAGAGTTTGAAGCAGGCTTGTGGCCTGCAAAGAGTTCTAAGGGTCAAATTGAGAAGCCTAAAGGGCCGCATGGGACCAGAGTAAAAACCTGCATAATATTTAACCCACTCAGAGAAATGCAGCCCACTAAGTTATTGTGTTATGTCTGGTGGACTGTGTTTGGTTTGTTAATCAAAAGATACACAAACCTAAACTATAGCAATATTGCAAGTTCTATATTGGTCAAAATTTGCACGCATGTTCATTTTTTAAAAATGCATAAAATTACACATACACCCCAACAATTATATCTGGCCTTTTTTGTATATGGCCACGTGACCCGGAAGTGTCTTCGGATGGCGCCGACTCCCGGCCTCTTGAGCGAGATGAGCGCGCAACCCTAGAGTCGGACACGACTGGCCTGTACGGGCAAGGGTACCTTCACCTTTACCTTACGGTGTGTACTAAATATAAAGTGTGTGTGTGTGTATACATGAAATAAACAGCTGGGAAAGAAAAGGTTTTCTGAAGGCAATATTCTTGGGATATGGAACATGATGTGAGACTTACCTGATCATCTAACAGATAAATATTTATTTTGGCTGCCCTCGAATTGATGGCAGGTTTAACAGATGTTCTAACACCATGTATTGCATTCCCTGCAGATCTGTCAAACTACCTGTGCCACAGTGCATCCATATCCCTCACTGCACATTGTTCCAAATATAGAAATGCAAATCCTAGAAGCGCATCATTAGCATTGGAGAATAATCTGCTGTTTCCCCACCATTCCCTAAGGAAAGTTCTCCATCCTTACAATACTCCTCTCTGGTTAAATATCCCTTTGCTGTTTGTAGGCAGTTTAAAACTTAAGTGTTCCTAAAGGATTTAAGCTAATAAAGAAAAACTTGCTGTAGTTTTGGCACCTGGGTTATTTGCTTGGCATTATACAGTGCTTGAGTGTTCTGCAGTATATAATTTATTTGCCATTTTCTTTGACAGTTTCAGTGTCTCAAAGATAAGAAAATTATGTGAAATTCTGAAAGGGTGGGACAAAACTTGTCCCTATGCCCAGTGGGGTGGGGTGTAGATATCATGAGCCCCCCAGAAGTAGGATTGGTGTGCATGTAGATCCTGAGAGTGACATTTCTTCAATCCATTGGTGGCTGGTGCCCATTGGGACTGGTAGGGCAGGAGACAGGGAGCCCAACAGCATGTGCAGCCAGAGTCAGTGACAGGCAAAGTCAACTAAATCTAGTCTCCCCCCCCCCCATTGTCCTCTATGCTAAGTTCTACAAGGGGCAACACTGAGTTTAAGGAAAAGGTAGCTAACCCTGTGGTACTTGTCAGGAGCTGTCCTACACTTGAGTAGGACCCTGGCAGAGACACATGCCTGACTGGCATGTTCTCTCCCTCCTGGTCGTTCGTTCAGGAGCTTCAAAAGCTTTCTTCTGCCCGAACATCACAGCGACCGATGCCAATAGACACCGGCACAGTTAGGGATCCGCAGAGTCTGCACAGTTCGCGTGACAGATCTCAGCAACTCAGCATTTTGGCTAATCTACTTTATTTACATATAAACACACACAGAGCACTGCAACATGGCTCCCTCTCTCTCTAGCACTAGACAGCAAAGAGAAAGAATAAAGGACAATAGTCCCACTTCACGGAACACAGTAACGTAAACATCCTGCCTCCGTCACTTCCCACTTTGTGGAGTCAAAACATACACCGTCATGTGATAGACAAAAATCCCATGACTGCAATCATGGAGCAGGAATTCTAACCCTGTGGTAACCCTGTGGACTGGTTGTAAGTAAGAAGGCAGAAAGGTGTGAAAGAACAGAGAGCAGATTGGTGTGGGTAGAGCAGTTCCCCATTTGCCCTGTTGGACAAGCCTGTACTGCTTCAACTGCCTTGACATAAGTGTCCTAGAATAATTGCCATCAGATACTCTTCCTGAATTAGAATAGTATTGAGAAGCTTTTCACAAGAACTATGGATGCCTTTTCACCTGGGATGTGTCACTTCTGACATTGTTAATGTGATGTAGAAAGCATTTCTAAATGAATAGTAGTCAATTAATTTACACTAATTTGTATATGTGGATAAAGCAAAACAAAATTCAACTGGAACTGCTGGAAACACCTCCTTGATTTAAAAAAATGTTGAATGACATGGCCTCTGGGACTTTGGTTAATAGTTGCGAGGAAATTGGTCCAGCTTCCAAACCATGGTGTAATAATATAATCATAACAAGGCTTGACATATGTCCTTTTTTTCAGGACACATCCTCTTTTCCATGGGTAGAGTCGTCATAGCAATCCTTAGTTAAAAGCAGAAGTCAGCAAATGTGTCCAATCTAGTATTTTGATGTTATGTGTTAAAATCCCAGGATTTTCTTAGTTATTTGGTATTGTCAGAGAAGGGTATCCATCCAAAAATTTAGCATCTTACCAAACTGAATTTGTTAGGATTATTTGGGATAAACCATGGCCATTAACTGTTACAGTTGTACTGTAATTAGGCTCCCAGTATTGCTTACTCATTTTTCTTAAATTTCATTTAAGATTAGCCCTGCAATTCAGTTTCCCTGGCAGAGTGTCCTTGGTGCCATCAGAAATTTAAGATCTCCTTCCCTCTGCAAAGAGGGTGCCTTCTGCCTGCAGCTACCTGCTGAAGTTAGAGCCCATATACTGAGAGGGTAGAAAAGAGGATGTGTTGGGTGAATGTCATGGTGGAGTGGAGCATGTTGGACACAGATCAGGGGAAAGTGGGGAATCTGAGGGACTTCCGGTCGGCGCCATCGGCTAATGGCGGATTTCCCTCCGAGCTCCGGAGGGGGTCTGCTTTACAAGTTCGGGTCCTGTCGCTACGGCGAAGCGGGGACCCTTAAAAATTACAGGCGCGGAAGCCTGTGAACAAGGAGGCTCGGTGGGCACCATCGCGCCCCCCCGAAATCGCAAGGGAGCCTTTTTAAAGGCTCTGGAACGGCAGCGGGGGGAGAAGCGGTGCTGAGAGCCGCTACCCAGCTTGTGAAGCGAAGCCGCATCGCCATAGCCGGAGAGCGCCGATTCCTTCCTGAAAATTGGATTACAAAGCAAAACTCGTGAGTAAGACTGAGACCTAATTGGGATTTACAACTATCTTTTGAAATTTGGCTGAAAACAGGATTGGTTTAAAGTAAGGAAGTCAGCCTTTCCCGGACTGCATAAGGATAAAGCAAAGAAGGATCAAAAGCTGTAACCATTGAGAGATCGTAAGAGTTAAGAGAACCAGACATAAACTGTGAACTTCCCCCTTTTGGTAGGCAGGAGCAAAAGGGGGGAAACTGTGATTAGAACCTGCCAGAAAAGGACTTTAAAAACTTTTCACCACTGTGTCAAACACCCCTGAAACGGACTGCCGGGGCAAAGGAACCTGGAGAGATACAACTGTCAGTGAGCTGTCACTTGGACTGTTACATTGTTTTAAACTACTCAGCTCAGGAGAGATACTAAATTACAGGTTTGTTTAACTCTGAAAATATAAGAACTGTTACAATTGACTATTGGGAAACCTCAGGGGAATTTTTGGCTGTAAGACATTTTGTTTAGTATTGGAAACTTTCTTCCCCTAGAGGGCACTTTGAGAATTGTTGCAAATTGGATTGTAACTACTAAGGCAGTGGAAATTTCCCTTGAAAAACAACTAACAGCTGACAGTGGTAAAGAAGGTGAAATACCTAGGGGTCTATTTGACATCTAAAAATTTGAACCTGTATAAAGACAATTATGAAAAATGTTGGTCGGAAATTAAAAAAGATCTAGAAATATGGTCAAATTTGAAATTGTCAATGTTAGGCCGAATTGCAGTTATTAAGATGAATGTATTGCCCAGAATGTTATTCTTGTTTCAAACATTACAAATTCTAGACAAGATAGACTGTTTTAAGAGGTGGCAGAAGGATATTTCGAAATTTGTCTGGCAGGGCAAAAACCCAGAATAAAATTTAAAATACTGACGGATGCAAAAGAAAGGGGGGTTTGCCCTGCCGGACTTAAAATTGTATTATGAAGCAGCAACTTTTTGCTGGCTGAAAGAATGGATGCTCCTCGAGAATACAGACATCTTGGACTTAGAAGGTTTTAACAATACATTTGGTTGGCATGCATATTTATGGTATGATAAAATCAAGGTGCATAGGGCCTTTAAAAATCATATTGTCAGGAAAGCATTATATAATGTTTGGATAAGATATAAAGATTTGGTGGAAAGTAAGACTCCTAGATGGTTGTCACCTTTGGAAGCCACGGCGTTGAAAAAGCTTAATATGGAAGCCGAATGGCTAAAGTATCGGGAAATTTTGGAACAAGATGGAGATAAGTTAAAGCTACAGAGCTATGAGAAATTGAAACCCAAAGTACGAGATTGGCTCCATTATTATCAAATAATGGAGGTGTATAAACAAGACAGGAAAATTGGCTTCCAGGTGGAGAAATCAAAATTAGAAACTGAACTGTTAGAACCCAATACTAAGAACTTGTCAAGAATGTATAATTTGCTGCTGAAATGGAATACACAAGATGAAACAGTTAAATCAGCTATGATTAAGTGGGCACAGGACATTGGTCATAACATTATGTTTGCTGACTGGGAATGGTTGTGGAACACCGGTATAAAATTTACGGCATGTAATGCCATAAAGGAAAATATTATGAAAATGATCTATAGGTGGTACATGACTCCAGTCAAGCTAGCAAAAATTTATCATTTGCCTGATAATAAGTGTTGGAAGTGTAAAGAAACTGAAGGTACTTTTTATCACCTTTGGTGGACGTGCCCAAAGATTAAGGCTTTCTGGGAAATGATATATAATGAATTAAAAAAGGTACTTAAATGTACTTTCCTGAAGAAACCAGAGGCCTTTCTCTTGGGCATTGCCGGCCAATTGGTATCAAAGAAAGATAGAACTTTTTTTATGTATGCTACGACAGCAGCAAGAATACTCATCGCAAAGTATTGGAAGACAGAAGAACTACCCACCTTGGAAGAGTGGCAGATGAAGGTTATAGACTATATGACATTGGCGGAGATGACTGGCAGAATCCGTGAGCAGGGGAAAGAGACGGTGGAAGAAGATTGGAAGAAATTTAAAATCTATCTAAAGAACTATCATAAAATTGAGGAATGTTAAAATGTCGAGGTTTGGAGAAAGAAAAGGAGATTACAGCGACATAAGATTAAGTTGAAGAAAAAAAAAATAAGAAAAATATATTTGATAAAATTATTTAGAATTTGCTGAAATAATTTTGGGAATTGGGATGTAGGAAGGGGAGGTTTGGGGGAGTCCGAGAAGAGAGGGTTATGAAAAAAAGGTTATGAAATTATACATGTTTGTATGTCTTTTTATTTGTTTGTATTGTATAAAACTTGTTTGTAAAATCAATAAAAAATTATATAAAAAAAAAAAGGAAAGTGGGGAATCTGGTCCCCTGACAGTCCCTGCTTCCCAGTGCCAGGATGAGCCCAACACAAGTCAAGCAGGATGTTGGATGTCATGGTTAATTGCCGTTGTTTATCTCTCATTCTCCCCTTTAGAATTGGACACTTCTGTTAAGTATTCAGTCTGCTGTTTTTCTCCTCTAGTTCTAGCTTATTTGAACTAAATTGTCATTTTAACACCAGCAGCCTTGTATGAGTCTAATAACTTTTCCTTGTTGAACAAGTGTAATCCAGCTGATTTTTCTAGCTGTTAAAAATGAAAACTAATGTAAGATATACATTTTTAAATATGACTAATACTTTACCTTTGCAAGACTCTACTGATTTGAAAGAAATCCATCACACCCAGCTTCAAATGAAAATTTACTCTTACTGATCTACTTACCACATTTTAAAAATAAGCTTTCATTTCAAAAAATGGAAGTAGTCTCTAGTGTTTTTAGTGTGCATATATACATTCATATGTGCTGCTTTACCTGATATACACATTTTTGCAAGCCATTTCCCCTAATATAGTGTATTTTTATTTAGCTTTCATTATTTTCTCATATTACAAAACAACAAGAAACAATATTAGAACAGAAAGTCACCTTCCCACACTTTCTGAAGATATGAGTTTGGTTTACATCTTTTATCTGTTGTACTTTCTGTAGCATTGCTGTTCCGGTTACCACACATAATAATAGCAACCAACGTATTACGTAATGTGGAAGAATATTTTAGACTATAGTGTATTTTTATATGCTATATTCACTAATGTGCATTTTCATGCACGCATTCCTCTAAAGTCCACATTTTTGTACTCTTTTCAATCAGCGAGCTTAATTGCAAAATTCAGAGAAGTGTGAATTTCAAATGATAGCTTTGAGTTTTGCCAATGTTGCAATAAGTGCAATTTAGGCAGGCAAAAAAACTCAAACAGAACCAAATTTCTCCTCCATCCATACCCTTAGTTACTGTCATTACTAGGAGGCCAGGGCACATGATATGGCTAAAATTGGGTGGGGCTAGTACATATCATTAATGCCCACCTGCCTTTTCTCAGCTAATTTTAGCATGTAATACGTTCAGTGTTGAAGCCATTAGCATCACAGCGTATGCAGTAATAAAACAGCACTGATTCATCCAACTCCATCACTTTCATCCTGAGGCACTTGGGAGGGTGAGATGTTTCAGTGATTACAGCATGGGAGTTGTGGCTTTTTATTAAGCGAGCTGGGAATCATCACAGATAGTGGAGTAGCATATAATACAGGGAATGAGTTATAGAACCATGGAGTGGGAAACCATAGAAAGACATAGTTTAAAATAATATATTACTAACAGAATAAGCTGTTAAATTTATCTATTTTTACAACAAAAAAAGAAGCTCAGATGCATTAGAATAGGGTTCTTAATATGCTTACTAGCAGCTGAGGCATCTGACATCGTAAATTATTTTAAACCAGAAAACTAAAGATTTCTTCCTTTTCCTCTGCTTGAAATGTCTTGAGGTTTTACACGTATAAAATATGAGTCTGTTCCGCATGCAGATGCAAACGATCAAGGGGAAAGCATGTGATGCAGCTCTTAAGAACTGCACTGCTTCAGGAGACTGTTTGGTGAGGCTGCATGTTTGCATCAATGTACATTCCTCTCCTCTCCCACACGCACACACATCTCCCCCTCCAGATACCATTATAAACATCCAACTGTTGTTGGTTTTTTATATGCAAAATTGACAGAAAATAGTGCAGATTGGTGTGTTTGAGTCAGACAATCCTATAGTCCCCACTCCACTAAGCAGCCGCCACCATCAGAGCAAGTCAACATATTGTATTATATTGTAGCTTCAGTTAGGGATTGTAGCTATAATAACTTGGTGAGAATATCCTGTCAGTCAAACAGTCAAACCACTGTATTTTGCACTAGCTCCAGCTTTTGGACCAACCTGAAGGACCTCCATTGAGCTCATTGAAGTAATCCAACCTATATGCATAAATTTTCTGAGCCTTGACAACAAAGGTCCTTATAGTTAAAGCTATGGTTTTCCCAGTAGTGATGTATGGAAGTGAGAGCTGGACCATAAAGAAGGCTGATCGTCGAAAAATTGATGCTTTTGAATTATGGTGCTGGAGGAGACTCTTGAGAGTCCCATGGACTGCAAGAAGATCAAACCTATCCATTCTTAAGGAAATCAGCCCTGAGTGCTCACTGGAAGGACAGATCCTGAAGCTGAGGCTCCAATACTTTGGCCACCTCATGAGAAGACTCCCTGGAAAAGACCCTGATGTTGGGAAAGATGGAGGGCACAAGGAGAAGGGGATGACAGAGGACGAGATGGTTGGACAGTGTTCTCGAAGCTACCAGCATGAGTTTGACCAAACTGCAGGAGGCAGTGGAAGACAGGAGTGCCTGGCGTGCTCTGGTCCATGGGGTCACGAAGAGTTGGACACGACTAAATGACTAAACAACAACAATGTCTTATCTCCTCAGTAATGGGTTAGGGTCACAGACCTGCAGTAGAACCCTATGCATGTCTACTCAGCATGTATGGACACAGGAAGCTGACTTATACTGAGTCAGACCATTGGTTCATCTAGCTCACTATTGTCTTCACTGGCTGGAGTTTCAGATGAATGAATGTATGAATGAATGAATGAATGAATGAATGAATGTTAATTATTATGGCTAAACAGCCAGCATGGAGTTTCAAGATGGGATCTCTCCCAATTCTACCTGGAGATGCTGGGGATTGAACCCAAGACCTTTTGCATTCAAAGCAGATGCTGCCCCACAGAGTCAAATGGAACTTCCTCCCAGGTAACTGTGCAGGACTGCAGCCTCTATTGCTTTCCCAGACTTGTTATTATCTTGGCAAAAACAATTTTGCAAGATGTCACATTCTCTCAAAGGGATACTCAGAATGTTAGGTGAAAAACTGGGCACACACAAAACAAATAAAAAAAGAATAAACAGATGCAGAATGAGATGTACTTTGAACTGTTATATTAAATACCACAATATATTAAGTTTTTGATCATATGCTGCATTCAGAACAAGTTTAATCCCCCCCCTTATTTCCCCTCACTTTCACTGTGTGAAAATCCATGCTGTGTCTATGGCTTTCTAACAACATGTTTGGTTTACATATTATTGATTTTCATGGGTGTATGAAACATGTGCACCTGGGCGAATTCTGCTTTATATCAGCAGAAAAGTCTTGCGACTCCTTCCTCCTGCTAGGACTTACAGCTCGTTTCTCCTCAAGGCCCAATTTATTGTTCACTTCTTACAATGAAATAGCCTTTTGGCCAACATAACTTAGGTACCAGGAAACAGATACAAGGACTAAAGATTCCTCAGACAGTAATCTGTACCTCAACATTATAGCTGCTAGATAAAAATGTCAGGACGCAAAAGTAAGGGACACGGAGGAGCTGTAGCGATTATTCTTTGGAGTGACATGATGCTCCAGACTTCTAGAATAAAGAACATCCACTCTGCTCTAAGGAGAGCCTGCCAGGCTAGAACAAGGATTGAGCTTGTATTTCATCTATATCACAGTGATCCTGTGACTATTTTATGAAATACGTGCAGACTTCAGATTGCCTGATATATGGGAATAGATGAACCTTTTGGCCTGATCCACCAGAGCTCTTTTTACATTCTTACTGCCAGAGGCTGGATGCCTCTAAACACCATTTGCAGGTGGGCAGAGCACTGTTGCAGTCAAGTCCTACTTGTGGGATTCCAGTAGGCATCTGGTTGGCCACTGTGAGACAGAATGCTGGACTAGATTGACCTTTGATTTAGAGGCTGAAGCTTCTACATGCTCTGATTTTAAGGAAATTGCTGCCACTGAAGCTCTTTCTGATTGATAAGTTGCCTCATGGAAAGAAATGACCAATGAATGTGCAATATAGAGACATGAGCACTTTTAAATAGAAAGGAGTCCATGTTCAAAGTTCCCTGAGGACCTTAAACATGGACCAGACAGAATCCATTTGCTAATGAAAGTCTGAAAAGGGATGGACTTCTGAAGCTGGGATATGCCAAGAAGGTTTATGGTCAGGGTTTTAGACCAATGTTCTGCACATTTGTTACCTTAACTGTAGGGAAGCTGCCACCATGAAGCCATTCTAAAAACTTCTTGAACTGGTGTGTAAACTTTATGTGCATATCAAGAGATTTCACAGCATAGGTCATACTAAATATTACAGTAAGGTGTGGAGAATCACTGTGTGTGTGTCCTCTCCTATGGACAAAAACCCTAGTAGATCTTTTGAAATCACTGATGCCAGATTGGGAGGCGATGCCACTGTTTGTGATGCTCTAATTAAGTCATTATGAAGGTCTGTAATCTGTTAGTGCTTTAAAGGATGTGTTTGAATTAGTAATACCATGTGTATCGCTCTGTAGTGAAACACTTCTCCGAATCAATTAACTTGCCTATAACAATGGAGGAAGGAACACCATTGAAAAATACTGGATCGAGTGCTGCCACCTATTGGTTATGTATTTCTAAAAAAGCATACTTCAGCCATTTAAGAATAGAAACAAACATGGCATTTATGTGTTAAATAAGAGAAAAGTTCTCACATTCTTAAGCTCTGATAGGTACATGGAACTCCCCTACCCCAAAGCCAATTCATTTCTGTGGAGGGAGTCACTGGTTCATTTTTTCAAAATCACTGCAGGTTTTCAGTCTTAAGAAGTTTATTTGAAAATGAGTTACACTGAAAGAGTTAAGTTCAAGTTCATTGA